ATAAGGACTCGGATTCCTATAGACCGCCCAAGCCCGCACCTCTTCACAGGAAAGGTATGTTAAACCAGCTTCATTTTCATTCCATGAAAAACCTTCCTTATCTAGCTAGTATATAAAAAGTACTCATATTCGAAGACCTGACTGAGTCTTGCGAGCAAGTAGCATTTTACATGTTCCCTTCCAACTACTATTCGGAAACCCTTAACAAAATAGTGGAATTGGAAGCAGGCAAATAGATATTTTTACAGCATCAAGCGCAAATGCAAGTAAACATTCCGCCATCTCCCTTAATTAACGTTTCGACTGTCACTTCTTTCATCCCACCAAGAAAGTGTAGACTGACTTGTTTCTTTACAGACAAAAAACCCTTATTTCAATAAGCGATCCAATTTAAGATCAAAAAAGTTGTTTGTGACTAGCGTTTTGAGTATATTTTCTAATAGAATTATATACCGTTCACATGCGTCACTTCAGTTTTCGACTCCAACGCCAATGGGATACCTGACATACTGGAACTGAATGATACCGACGGTGACGGAATTATTGATTTGTACGACACTGATGATGATAATGACGGCATTCCAGACGACAAAGGTAGGTTAAGCTTCAACCGTCAGCACGATGTACGCTTTTTATGCTTTCGTTGCCAATGAATGCCGCTGGAAGTACGCCCGTTTTATATGCGCTTGCCTCTAAATTCATCCGCGCACTGCTGTTGCGACACTGACAAGTCCGCAAAACGACTACGTAATTATAATAAGTAGCAAAAATAAAGATAACCAAATCTTTTGTGTACGCATGGACTACGCAGGTCTCGCAGGTCGAAGTTGCAGCACAAACGCAGTACGCGTATGCTTGACAGTGACGGTTTTTTTCGTTTTCATATACGGTAGCGTGCTTCCTAATTGCCGGTGTTAAGCCCTTCATAACACTAAAATCTGGTTCTTAATTATGCTGTAGAATATATAGAGTGTATTATATTTCCGGTGCTCTTGTACGAATACATTTATACGATGAAAAGGAAGGTCTTCGAAAAAATCGAGTTGTACTCGTGAATTTTCGAACAGGTATCACTTGTTCGTCGTCAGACTAAATGAAAAGTTAGGGCTGGGAATGTCGTACTAGAAGTTTTGGGGGCAGAGGTTACAACGCACTGGGATGAAGTTGGGGGGAGGGTTACGGTGACATGAATCCTGCGACGATAGGTTGTGCAGGTAAGGGGGGAGGTGTTAACTTTTGGATTGTAGGCCACGTGTCCCGGGAGAAGGGGGTGCAGAACCAGTGAAGTTTTACTTGAATGAGCACGGACGGCCTGCTGTTGTTTCAGGCTGGGCGCAGGTTAGTGGACCAGTCTCGGAAACTGGCATAGTGTGAATCGAGGTCTACGAGTCTGTTAATAGCGGCCGGGCTCGAGTGCCAAGCTTCGAGGAATTCTCGCCCTTGTCTCATATTAGCCATTGTGATCACCTCGGTACCATCCTAATTGAAGTTCGTTGTAACCTCTGCCCCCAAAACCTCTAGTGCGACAATCCCAGCCCTCACTTTTCGTTTAGTCTGACGACGAACAAGTGATATCTGTTTGAAAACTTACGAGTACAACTCGATTTTCCGAAGATCTTCTTTCTTTTCAACATATCATCTCGGAATGCAACTTACTTCACTTATCCAGTGTATTATATTTCCAGTGCTCTTGTGCTAGTTGGCCTTTCAATTTACTGTTAGCAGTTAAGGGTGATTTCGATGAACAACGCGACCATGTTATTGTTTCAGCTAGTGACGTATTTTTGAAAGATAAATATACACCATTCATTTCCGTTCTCCCTCCGTAGAAGACGTTGACATGAATCATTGAAGCGATTCAGAACCAAACAAAATGTTTTATCTGAAGGCAATTTTGTACGTGAGAAGCAGAATTAGCACACTGTCCAAAAAAAGAGAAAAAATTAAAAGGTGGAGATGAAAGAAACATACTTTAGGAGTGTGTTCCACGGAAGTCCAAAATTGATGCTATCAGAAAATATCTTCTTTGAAGCAATTGAACGGAAAAAGGATCGTAAGTTTAATCAAAAATGACTTATGGCTACTGTTGTCAAAGTCTACTTTATAAGGTATTTTTGAGGAGACAGTAACCTATTCTTAATCGTGACGGTTTCACATAGCTTTTTGCCGGAAAGTACATTTGTCAGGTAGCTATTCGGCAGCACTTTTAGCCTAACGGTCAGCGGAACTTGAATGTATATATCCAGGCTCCTAAATTTGTGTTGAAAAGTTAGCTAGCTGATGAGGAGCAAACAGTTAGAAATCCCAATTCGAAGTTTCCTTTTTTCGTTAAAGTCTGCTCTTTATTAAGTGTTCACTTGCATGGGGCCAAAACTGTATACCCCCACCCGGAACTCCGTTGCTAACCAAAGTAAGCCTAATATTTGGCCATCCCAAACACTGCCATCGTGGTGGAAAGGAACAGCGGGCTTTTCACGTATTCTCGCCAGAAGATAGGCCCGAGCATTGATGTGGGGTATGAAGTATATGTTCTATCCAGGAATGGGCACACACTGAGCCATTAGATTTCCGAGGCAAGCAAACTCTGTATGGGTTGCAACTTTCACAAACAGGCAACGAACTACCAGGTTCATATCGGCAAAATTGTGATCGTAGCGGATGTGTGGATGGAATTGTAAAGAACAAACCGTTCCGTATCAATCCCCCGAAGTCTTCTTCATCTGTAGCCATCTATTAATGGTATATTTTTATACCATGAAGCCTTCACGAGATTTCGAATGTGGATAATATGTCAGCAGAGGGTACATTTAACCAAGTGTCCAGCTGAACTGTGCTTCAAATGTCAGCTATTTCAGCACTGTAAGGCAATGAAAAATATGCGTCAATGACGAATATGAAAGAATTTCGTTTGAATTGACAAAAAGTGTTTGAGAGAGATACGCTTTATTTTGAAAATATCATTCAACATTTTCAGCAAAAAGGTCCTCCATTCAGCATGAATAAAATAAGACAGAGAAACCCTACAGCACCAGGGATCGCAGGCAATGCGTACTGGGCAAAATTGTGGAGAAATGTGCTTGAATATGTCCCAAAATTTGGGCTAGATTAATTTTTTTGAAATCTGCGCTAGCGTCGTGCGCTGATTACCATATTGTTGTAATTCAAATAAACACTGAGTGGTAAAAATCAACTTCTAATAGGCGCATTTGGCCAACTGATGTGTATATAAAAACATCTACATGCGAATAGGGGGAAGAAAAATATGGCGCCTCAATTTGAAATGTCCGCTTATGAGTTTTACGAAGAAGTCGACTTTGAAAATCTGCCATCTTATTTTCATTAAACCAAAACCAATTAGAAATGTCCCTACGAAGTAGCTGATATCTCCACCTAGTTAAATCAGCAGCTTTCGTCTCCTTGCGGTTGGGTCTGCAGGAATTGATTCTGAAAAGGATGTAATGTGGGTACCACGTGATCGTTTTTAAGAAGCTAAGAGCAACGCGCTTAATGGTTTTACTTTAAAAAGTGTGACCTCAGTCTAGGTCGGTGCATACACAAGGGGGCCAATATTGGGATATCATTTATTGGAGTACGCGTATGCGCATCGTTAAGGTCGTTAAAAGAACCAATCCCGATATACAACTATGGGTATACCTATCGACGTTGACTAAATAATGAACAAAGCTACTAGGTTCATGACTCATCTGGTCTTCACACATGTCCACAACAGTGCTTAGGCCGGGTTCTAATTTACATCCATTCTTGGCAGAACACAAAAGCGCGCTGTAATCAATCAAACATTCACTGTCGTCCTCCTGTGTATTCAGTCACTTTATTAAAGGATTCTATGAAAACTGTGGCATAAGTTATAATTTCCCAATTTGTGGTAACGATATTCATCTAAGCCTAATAGTCAGTAATACAAATAATTATTAACATGTTGACATCTGCTTTTTCTAACAAAACATCAGGAAGCAACGGCTGCATAAGCACGAGAAGTAAAATTTAGTAAATACCAGTAAATTAAGGAAAATTCTATATTAGGAAGGAAATTTGATGGGAGTAATGACAAAATAATGTTTTCAAAATGGTTAACACGTACCATCGACATAAAATAGTCAGTGCCCGACAAAGTTTCGGGCACGAGTTCCAAAAAGCAGTTCAGAACAGACAGATGCGATAGCTGGGACAAGCTTTTTATTGGCCTAACTTCTGGCCTTTCTCTCCAGAACCCATCCTCAGAAAAAGTCTCAGACAAAAAAACCCCTGGAAGTGGGATTTTTGACTATTTTGCCCTTCAGTAGCCAGCCTCTTCCAGAAATCTAGATATTCGAATTCAAATCCGATTGGTCGACAGGCTAGAAGGTTTGCCGATCGTTTGGAAGTCAACGATAGGTCAAGCTTGAAAAGCTTTAATTTTTTTCAAACGAATATCCTTATCTGTAACCGTATCTGATAACGGGTGAAATCAAAAGACCAGACCAATCATTTTCCCGTCGCTACGACAGCATCATTGTCCTCATCCCTATCAGCATTTTTCGTTATCTTTTAAATTGCCCTTTCGTCACACTTCGCTAAAACTCTATGCAGAGAATTCCCACGCGCTGCTTCACAGCACTAATAAATGCATCCGGATCTGCAAAATGATCCTTTCTGGCACAGATATCGGACGCCTTCTTTTGGCCAAAGCAAGAGGAAATGACCAGCCTAAGAAGGCTGCATGCGGGTCATGTTACTTTAGCTTGGTCCGACGAGAACCAGCTATAACCACCTATTTTGACTTGCCACTTAAGATGACGACGACGATAATGATGGAATTCCGGATATTTATGAAGATGAGAATTTAAATCAACTGCTGGACTTCCTGGAGGCCAGAGACACTGACAAGGACGGCATTCCTGATTACCTTGATGATGACGATGACAATGACGGTATACCTGACCACCTTGATGATGACGATGATGGAGATGGTGAGTAGGATATGCTGTTCCTGTCTGACCCTAAGTCCGAAGAAATTTATGTGACAGATTTTCCCACCTACGCTGCTTCCTAGATAGCACGACAGCCAGGGTGTTGGGAGGACTTTCAATTTCAGTAAAAACTCAGATTTAAGTATGGATTTTAATAACTCTGATTTTACCATCAATAGCTGATGCTTCTTCAGAAAACCAAATAGATCCGATGTGTTAATAATGAAATGCATCAAGCAGTACTTCACAGGGAGGTAACAATCAAAGAACACCGAACCAAAAAGGGAAGACGATAAAACGAACTTCCGTAGTCATCTTAAGTGGCCAACAGTGGCCACTTGATAGTGCATACCGAAAGACAACTCAAAATGCACTCCACCTGCAGGGGTGTTGTGTCTTTTCCTTTAAGCTATATTTAAATTAGAGCGGAAAGCATTAACGCAGCAGTTCACTGGCCACAGAGACATACGATGGTGATGTCTTCTACCATAACTAACAGTGTGAACTTACCTATGCATATTGTTAAGGTTTTTAACAAACTTTAACTCTTCTCTAGGGATCCTCGATGTTGACGAAGATGACAACAATAATGGTATTCCTGACAAGCTAGAACAACTGGACTCCGATAATGACGGTGAGCTTAACTCTGATTTTTAGCCTAACACAACAAGTCGATTGTCAGGGGTCCGCCACTGCCCCACGAGGCGGATCTGTAGGATCTAAGTAGTGATTGTGCTTATAGCAGTACAATCATCATGTCAAATTCCAAGTTGTAGGTAAAAGACAGAAGGTACCTATGGAAGGGTCTAAGTTATGCGCAGAACTCCCTATTGCTATTGTGGCCATTAATGAAGCCAGGACTAGTGTTGACTGCGTTCAGTCATACCTGAGAGAGGGTGAGACCGTGGTGGCAGCTGCTTTTGCCTGATTGTGGAGCGTGATTGGCGTGTTGCATTGCCCAAAGGGGGTGTCGTGCATAGTGGCCCCTGCTGCATAGGCCGAGGGGTGGTGTGTTCACGTGGGCCTTTGGCAGCCTAAGTTATTTGGATGCGCGTGCGTGCGCGCGCGGCGAAGTTGGTCAAGGGTCCTCAGTTGAGCGAGTCGGAAATCGCTCCCCCCCTCCCTCCCCCGAAGTTGCGTGACTTTGAGGCAGTGAGCGTTGAACAAGATAGCCGGACAGCATTGTTAGCTGCCCGTAACGGACGCAGCCGTAACTTCTGCTCAGGGCGGAGTAGACTTGTGCTGTATCTACTTCACACTCTGCTCCCACGCGCACACATATCGTTCCTGTGTCGAGGCAAGGTCAAGGTGACTGGTGGTGGGCACAGGCTTAGTGGTTGAAAAATCAAGACAGTCCATCCACCTGGGCCACACATTACGTTTTACCTAAATTAACGTGTGTCGGCCCTCATTCAAGGAACCTAGGGGTTCATGCAACTAAGTCTGCACAGGAGCCACTGCAACCTTTCTTGATTGGCTGAGGACTAGAAAGGCTGGACTAAACCCGCGCGCATAGACACTTATTCACCGACGCGGCAGGCTCTTGTACGTGGCGCTTGCAGCAGCTATAGTAGGGCTACTTTAGCTCAGTACAGCTGTTCCTCCAACTCTCTCTTGCCTGACTTTTGATATGGGGATCCTTCTGTTGTCGATACAGCAAATAGCTCCCGAGGGAGCTATTGTAATATGACCTGTAGTTTCTGGTAGGACCTGCCTTTTTGGCAGCTGGTCACTTTCAGTGCCAAAACTGTTAGTTTCAAAGTATTTTGCTCAATGGACTAAACATTGGGTCTAGCTAGATTTCCATTCCGTCTTCCATGAAGCAGAGGTCTGCTAAAGTCAACTCAAATGAGAGTGAGACTGGGCACACTGTTCGACATGTCATGTACGGAGTCCGGATTTCTCGAGCCCATAATCAGCGACAGAAGTAAGAATCGGGTACTAAGTACACATAGATTTGCAGCATTTATAGGATACAGTCCCTATGCTACTGCATACCTTTGACAAATAACGGCTCTGCCTTCGTCGAGGATCGTTGCCCACACGTGCGTTAATTGTTCGATTGTCGGCGCGCGGGTCGTGGCCTGCTGAAATGTCATCGTTCAGGTTGGCCTTTAGTGTGATGATTCCTCGACCAACTGGTTCACTGGCACTGGCGTTGAAATATGTTTTGGTCTACAAGTGGCAAATTGCTTTGGTCAGATTGGGTTTCAAGGTAACTTTGAAACGGCTAACGCCGGAATTCTCAAACTGAGTTTTATAAAAGTCGCATAATTGTGGATCCGCTGCGGTCTAAGACGCATTCCAAACCAATTTTGAGTTACTAATTTAGCTGTAGGCCTTCCATGTTACAACTTTTGGAACCCTACCATCACTTCAAGCGCCGTGTATTCATTATAATGAGGAATACCTATCGAGGGGTGTTAATGCTAATAAGGTTGACTCTAACAGCTGCGATATTCCAGGAGATGCCATTCTAGTGTGTTTTCAGGCGACTGAGGGACATTCAGGCACCTGACAGGCCAGATATCCCGCAGATTTTTCAACTTTCCCTTCCACTTCAATTGATTAGCAATGGCTGCATCCCCGAAATATTGTAGAATTTATCCTCGTTGTAATAGCTTTTACGACAGTGGGATAAGCTTATCCCCCCGTTTGAGAGCCAACTTATTTGCGGATTTTGGTTGGTATTTAGTCGCCATCAACAGATATATCCGCAAGACATCTGTTCAATTACTCTGAATACCTCTAGCGGAGAGGGTAGGCGTTCGAGGCCAGCATTTTACATCATACGGGAAGCCTGTTAATAGTCTTTCCGCAAACCGTATCTAGGCAGAATTCCATTTCAAGGAAAAACGTTCCTTGAGAGAATAAGGTAACTTTATTCGGTAAATTTTCGACACTGGATCCCCAGGTCGTCGTCAGGCCTGAGAAGATGTGCAACGAACAACTAAATTTTCAAAAGTGCTGGTACAGAAGACGAAGATGCGATCACTGGAACAAGAGCTTTCTTTCCTGACGTTTCGGATTCCCTCGGGAATCCTTAATCATAGGTGATGATAACACAGGCAGTTCAGAGGTAGAAGATGCGATCACTGGAACAAGAGTTTTATTTGCTTGCTTTCGGATTCCCTCGGGAATCCTTAATCATAGGTGATGATAACATAGGCATGATCATGCGCAGATGAGGTGGATACATGCACAGGCTGCCCGGTATTTATAGTTCAAAGTGGTCATCCGCGTGTGTGTGATAATTGTTCACT